ATTTTACTTTGTGTTTGGGATTTAGTTTTCCAATAAGTGAGGTAGTTTTTTGTGTGTTTTGTTATAATTTGGTTGACTCTAATAGATGTGGGCTCAGCCTGGCCCTGATCACAGTTTGAACCGGTTTGTGAACAGAGTGTCAGGACCAGCTGAGAGAGGGGACTCTTCCCCTTGTTCATCTCTTGATGCTGCAGGGCTTTGTGGTGGTAGGAGTGGGGGTCACTTTCTTTTAGATGTAGCCAATATTTAATTGATCGTTTCTGGATTTGTATTAATAATGGAAATGTGCCTAATTCCGCTCTGCAGGCGTTGTTAGTTGTTCTCCTGTGAACCTGTAGGATGCATTTGCAAAAACGCATCCTCATCCCTCTCTCTCTCTCGCAGCTCCACTCAGCCTGCCGTCCCGTGAGAGTCTGACACTTCAGAGTGCTCTGTCATTTTCACAGTATCCGATCCCACAGCCCTATTCTTCCTCTGTATAATACATACAGATCATATCTCTGTAGCTCTTCATGTTCCAGCATAAAGCCCTCTGCATGTAACGCTGGTGAGAAAAAGGACAACAAGAAAGGAGACCATGGCAATCTAATCATTTGCCTTCACACTACAAGCATATCTGTTTGGAGACTAGACTAGACTAGACTAGACTAGAGACCTCCCAATTGAATGTGTCGATCACTATAAGTTCCCAGAGCAACAAGAGAAAGGCACAAAAGAGAGAGTGCTGGGAAGCATTAGGCTGACAGAGTGGAAGTAGGGCAGGCAGGAGCAGGGGGTGATGAGCAGGTCTGAACAGTTATGCAAATAGCTCGTGTTCGCCTGGTTATGGAGAAGAAAGTGGAAAGGGAACAATTATTATGAGGGGGTGCACTTTAAAATAGGACATCAACCACCAGCCGTGAGTTTCCTGTTTTCATTGGATGTCTAGAGTCATATCTTTCTCCTCGCATCGCCTCAGAGCGCTTAGCTTGTTTATTTAGCCAATAGATTTGGAGTATCGCTACGGATACATCCTTCAGAAGTCATGTTTCTGACATGGGACAACTAACTCTTTACATTACAATGTCCTGCGATTTCAGAGAAAAACAAATCACACCGCCTCTGCGTTGGTTCACATGTTTTACGCATTTAAATGAGAAAAGGCCTGATGAGAGAGCACCACGACAAACAATTCAAAGTACCTCAATGACTCTTTTCTTTGTGCGCTCAACCTCCCGTAGTGCATCCCAGCAAGGTAGCCACAAACAAAAAGGGACTGTATGTTGGAGGAGAAAATGGCCATTTACTCAAACACAAGGAACTTTTTCACAGGATTTGTTTAAGATTCAAGCACCACATTCCTCTTTAAATTGACATTATGATATGGAAATAACTCAAAGTTGTCAGCAGCTTTTAGAGTTCCCCTGAGTTTATTGAGCTCTTAGTGGAAATATAAACCTGAAGGGTCTCCAGTGAATATCTTGTTTCCAGTAACAATAAGTGGTCTTGTATGGTGTAGAAAAGTCTGTGAAAGTTGTGAAAACAAAGAATTTGATTTAATAAAGCTTATATTTCTCAGAAGCTCAGAAACAATTATAAGTGAAAAATGGTTTATGGGTCTTATTATCCTATCATTTAACAGCAGAAATGATGTTCAACATGTCCAGGCATGCCAGCATGTAACCGGACCCCTGCAGCTGGTTGATCAATTACAGTTCAATAGTCAAGCTGCTTTACAAAAAAAAGAATAACAGAAGTAACATAAGAAATAAGAAATATATATTGTACGTAACATATTACACAAAACACATGATAAACTGATATTATATGATGTGTTATAATAAATCAAACAAAACAAAAAAATGTAAAAAGGTATAAGTCTCTTCATCGCCATCATACAACAGTAAAATGCTATTTACACATAAATGCATTAGTAATAATAAAAAATTAGATTAAACACTCACTGGGGCCATTTTATTTATTTTTTATTTCTTAGCTACAAGCACTTTATTTTGATAGTTTAAGTCATTTAAGCTCATCATTGTCATACACATGTCCAATAAAGTGACGTTTTTAATACAGAACTTTTATTTAAATGTATCTTTGCAGTATACTTTTCCTCCCTCATAGCATATAATAAAAATATTGCCAGTTTTGATACTTTACAGAGAAAGAACAATTATGAAGTCTTTTGCATTATCATTTGTAATCCCAAGCATTAACAATCTTGTCTCAACTTATTTATTTTTTACCATTTAATGGTGTTTACCTATAGCACCACAAACGTATGGGAACTCTCTCTGCAGATCAATAACATGGGAAGTATTTATTTGCCTCTGGAGCAGCTGAATCCTTCTCAACCTTTGGTCCTTTGAGAGTTTCCTCTAATGTTGCATGAGGAGGAAACTGAAGCCGCTCGGTCCCCTGACTCTCACTTCTGGTGTGACCTGTAATCCAATCAGAGCCAGAGTTTCCATGGTGTGAAAATAAACAGAACCGAAGATTGATCCCTCCGCCCGGTTCTCATCCACCGATCCTCAGAGGGCAGTCAGTGGAGTCATTCAATTTGTTCATGATTAAAATGATCCTGACCTTCATCGTGTTGTTTTCATTAGGAAGATGAAGAGGAACCACCATGATTATCTTACAATGTATTAGGGAAACATACAAATAATTCACCGTGCGTGTTCGCTTCACACAACAACAAAGAAGAGACCCTGGAGAGTTTTTACACTGAAACAAAAATATTTTTAGATTGATAATAAATTGATGAAAAAATGTGCTCTAATTTCTAATTTAAATGAAAAAGGAGATCCACATTTGTTAATCTGAATGATCAGCTGCTTTAAGAATATGGTTTTCATGGTGTTGGAGGTATAATATAAGACTCTTTGATGCACAGCAGCATTTCAGATTATATTGTGAAAGACTGCAACTGTTTAAATCTATATTTGAACCAGTTACTGATGAACAAAAGCTTCTTCAAAAAGCAGAAACATCAAAGGAGGAATGTTAAACGGACTGAAAAACAATAGAACATTCTGAGTTAAAAGAAAGATAATTTCTTCCATGTTGGATATATATACACTGTGCAGAGTATCACGTTATGGCTGGCATCTTACAGACACATGTGCTTTTCTTTTTTGTGGTTTTTATCAGTGAATGAAATGGAGCTTTGTGGACAGATTGTGAAATGTTGTGACACTCTGGCTACATTGCATTCTGGGATTCTTTACCTGTATCTAATCTTCTTTATAGGAACTAAAAATAGCAATGCTTACATTTGACTTTGCCGTCCTCAGATCCCCCACCATGCTGATATGAAGCATGTCCTTAATCATGCTGAAGAAAATCAAGCACACTGTGGTGTTTATTTGTGGGTTTGTGGGCACTATGGTGAGGAAGTGGGCTCCTCTGAAGAAGCTGGATTTAATCTCACTGGAATCCAGCAGTAATGTTAGATTGTGTGGGGGGGGGACAAGAAAGCGTTTTTCTATCTGTGTCCTTGGAATAAGTAAAAGGCTGAAAGAAACAGAACAGAGGGGGAGATTGGATCTAATTCAACTGGAGAACTTTACTCTTTCACTAACAATTGTTTTTACAAGCCCTTAAAAGAACCAGAAAGAGTTTCCGAGGTGGGACGAATGCCCTGCAAGCCCCTGCAGAAAGAGGTGGTTGATCGGAGAAGAATTGAGGCCAGAGAGACAGCCCCCTCTGCCTGGTTTCTTACACTTTGCCTTTAACTGCGTTTCTATGCACACTTTGAAAAAGTGAACAAAAGACCTTGTCAGGAGTAGCAAAGCAGAGAGGTAACTTATGTACAGGGTGTCCCAGAATTTAAAAGAAAGAAACACCTGCAGTGGAAAAAAGCAATTTTTTCTCCTGCTAAATTTGTTAAATATATCTGTGCCAATAAATGCAGAGGATTTGAGATGCGGGATGTGTTTTAATTACAATTTATTACAGACATTACTGCGTATACTTTAAAGAACAACATTGACTTTTAGGGATTTTATCCCAAATACCCTATATATCTGGATTGATGCCAAAATCCTCTGGGTTTTCAGCTGCCTTTGCATTAGACTTAAAGGGTTTTTCTCCATACTTTTGGTATTGTTAAATGTCTTATGGGCATTTAACAGCTTGAAGGGTTTTGTTTTGCAACGAAGTTAAAGACCTCTGTTTAACCAGACATTTGTTTGATACAAACTGTCCAAATGTAGCGGTTGCTGGGCGCCATGAGGTTATTGAGGCTTCACCAGCTGCATGTTGGTATAAATGGACTCTCAAGTCTTTTGGTCGGACTCCAAGCAGCAGACGGCACTCAGTTGTGAGAGCCAGAATTTGAATAACAAGTGTTCAGAAGCAGCCAACTGTTTAGAGTCCTCTCAAGGTCAGTGAGGAACAATGGAGCCAGTTTCTGTGGTGAACACCCGGCTGAATTCAAATAGCTTCACCTCGGGAAAAATTTCCTAAATCTGACTGCAAATTTATATCAGAATCAGCTTTTAGTCCAAGTAAGTGCGCACATAGGCCTACAACAAATGTGACTCTGTTTTTTGTTACTCTCAAACTAATTGTACAGAAATAGACATAATGGTAACAATGTAAAAAGAACGTTTGCTTATACAAATAACACTTTAGGATATGTGCTCAAAGGTGCAGTTTTATCTTCCAGGGGGGTTTCGAAACACATTTTTCCTGTAACCACCTGCAGATGTGTCTACTTTGTGTCAATCGTTCACTCGTATTATCTCTTAAAAGCAAACCTAAGTGAACTCTGCAACACACACACACACACACACACACACACACACACACACACACACACACACACACACACACACACACACACACACACACACACACACACACACACACACACACAACTATAGCCACGCCCCATTGCCATGTCGCTGCCTGGCATGCTGCATTCAAGGACCGCCCAGGAGGCGTGGCCTGCATGGAAGCTTATATATCTTCCCTGGAACCAATTTACTTAATCTTCACTCAGCCAAGCACGCTGACGGACCTGTCGTTCACTTTTTTCTATTTTATTAAATAAACCATATGGACTTTGCATTGAGGATTCCGCGTCATAGTTATAGCCTTTTTTAAGTTTAATAATGTTTAAAAATAACGGAAAGAAGACCGCTATAACTGTAGCCAGCACAGCCTGTCTGTGCATGCTGCTGCTGCTGCTGGCGGTGCAGCATCTCCGGGTCCAGGTGGAGGATGAGGGGGCGAAGGGAGAAGATGCTGGAACCCGCTCTCTTCTCCAGGATGCCGCTCGGGAAAAAGAGCAGGACGCCCAAACTAAGAAAGGATTCTCGGCGTACTTCACCAAACTGACCCGGAGTCGGAGGGACGTGGAGAAGCCCGCGCGCTCAGCGTCCGCTGAGGCGCCTCCAGCTGAGGACATTAGCGCTGATGACATATTCATCGCTGTGAAGACCACCAAGAAGTTCCACCAGTCCAGGCTGAATCTGCTCCTGGACACCTGGATCTCAAGAAACATACCACAGGTAAAGAATAAGTGCAACAATATTATGTAATGCAAGTTTTATTCTGTTCAAGTTGGAATATAGATTATGTGAAGCAGTGGTGTGCTTGTTGTTGTGGGCAGATGTCATTGTTGCTGCAAAGATGAACAATGTTCACATGCAGGTGATGTTTGTTTGATGGCTGCCTATGTGCTGCATTGTTGCCCATTGAATTGTCACCAGATGACAGTGAAATAGACTCACAGCCCCTGTTAACCATGCTGAGTTTCTTGGGCTCTGTCACTTTTTATTATCCTCTGAGTGATGTCCCTGAGAGTGAAGGGAGCAGTTCCAGGACTCCCTCTCTCAGCCCCCCTCTCTCCCCACTCTCTATTATCCCTCCTCTTTCTGGGTGTCCTTGTGAAGGCCCTCGGTGCAATGGGTGCTTCACAGCACCGACTCCAGCGCTGTCCCCCTTCCAGCACTAACAAAGCGTCTTTCTGAAGGGGAAAGAAAAGCTTTCCCAGCCCCTTGTCTCCCCTCTCTCCATGGGAACGTGGGAGCTGACTCTGGGTCAAGCTTGCTGGAGGGATGGGAAAACTGGGGGGCTTCGTTAAAGGGGATGCCTGACTGGGACAAAGGGGTGCATCTATAGGCAAGTTTATGCTGCACGCTGAGTGTGAAAATGTGTCCTTGAGTACCAAGCTTCTTCAAAGGGGAGGAGGAAACGGCTATTCATTCTGATTGTATCCTGCACCTATGGGTGTCACATGTGCTTTTATCAGAAGTCTACTTAATTTGCCTGAGGTGCTGTCACGCCAGGGGTTTCTGTAAAAAACTCTCTTTATCTTAAGCATCAGTAATGTGTGGAGGGAGCTTTCATCTGCGTTTAGTGGCAGTAACATTGTAATGATGATAGGCTGTCACAACCACTTAGCCCAGAAATAATCACCTGCACAGCTCCTGTTAATGTCCAAACCATGGCCCAAAACATCTGCTTAGGCGATAGCTGATGGTGCTAATTGGTGCTAATCACTGTATTGCATGATGTAAGTTAGCCCATCCGACAGAGTCAGCAGCAGGGCTTATAGGCAAGCAGCTGGTGTGTTGCTGCGCACACAAAAAGGACAGACTGAATCCCACAATGCAAGAGGGAGTTCCTGGAGGAAGGGTGCCAGGTGGTCAGGAGAGACAGAACAAAGGACGGCCTTAATGCCAGCCATATGATGCTCCCAGTTCCCACAATGTACATATGGCCATCATTGATATTCAGGGTGGATTCTCACGCTCAGCTGATGGGACATCTGTGGAGTTTGGATCACTTTAGTACAAAAGGGACAAAAGCATTATTTCTGCAAACAGCAATTTAGAAGACTTTTTTATTTACTGTTACTTTGTGATCAAATCTCTTCACTCGTATGCAGAGGGAGACACTATCTGCTGCTGTTTACATGAGAACAGACAGGGAAGATTATCTTTGAGATAGCTGTCTTGACACAATAATGCCTGTGGCCTTCTTAATCTTTGAGCTCATTGAGAGCATAAATAGCATTTTTGTTAATCCAACCAGTTAGTGTCATGTAAAAGGTTACCCTATGGTTATTAAATGCCAGACCCAATTTATCTCTGCATCATTCGTTTGGAGACAGAAAGTCTTTCATCACACGTCATTGTATAATCTATTATAGAACCCCTTCCTGTTTTCTATTTATCACCCCTTGAACAATATAGCTTTGTTCTGAGTCCAGGGCGCATAACCCAAAAGAAGAACATGGATCAGAGTTTCCTCTAGCAAGAGAGTATAGTAATTTGATTTGTGAAACTGGCACATTTCTTTTATCAGAGCTTTATTTCAGTTTTGCAGCTGTCATCTTCTCAGTGTGCCATGCATTCCTCTCTTAGCAGTAATTAGCTAACTTTCAAACAAAGAGCGCTTTAAGAATTTAGAAAATAAAACACTTGGCGATGTTGTTGGAATGGCTTCACAAGTGTTCAGAAAGAGGCTGGGTGTCATTAAAGAAGACAGCCTGGTATTTAATATATGTCTTCTGAGGGGGGGGGGAGCTGAAAATGCTTTGAATCTTTGGGATAGAAGGGGGAAGGAGCCAGGGTGGAGGTGGTTGATGGAGGGAGGGGAGCCCGATGCCCTTCCTTCCCGAGCTGGAGGCAGCCAGCCAGGCAGGCACCACCATCAGCTCACACAGGGCCGTGCCAGGCCTTCCTGCGGTCAGGAGTGCAGGCCCCCCACCCCCCCTTATATTTGCTCTCATCTCCTCACCCCGTGCCCCCTCGCCTCTTATCTCTACTTCACACACAGCCAACTTTTCTTTTCTGTCTTTTTTTTTTTTACATGAATTAGTATTCCATGTAAGTAACTGTTCTTTTATGTTTCAGTTAAGGACCAAGGACAGAACAAAAAAAAATCTTCCCGGGAAGGGGGGGTTCTCTTTAGTTAACTCCTGCAGCTGTATGCAAATGCTGGCAAACATATTTAGAATTTACCCAGTGGAGACTTTACCCAGCATGAAAACTCAAAGCATTGTTCTATTCAACGGGCTCTGGCCGTGTATGTAGCCCGGAGAAGGGAGGGAGGATAGGGGGTGAAGGGGGGGTGGATGGCCACACACGGCTTTGGATTTACTAATCAGCAGTGAGATTCCCAGCCCCCCCCCCCCACACCACCACCGCCACCCCTCTTTCTGTCAGTGCCCTGGCAGCTCTGGCAGCTGCCTCAGTGATTAGGCTGTATATTCAGCGGACTTTAAAGCAAACAGCGCCAGCCTCTGATCCCTCCACCAGTGGAACCACCACCCTTCCTTAAACAAATACCGGCTCATGGCTTCAGCATCGAGCAACATCTGCTCAGAGTTTTATCCACAAAGTGTTCAGAAAAATAAAAAACTGGACTAAAAAGATTTCTCTTTTCTATTGAAGCAACATCAAAGGCCGGTTTCTGGATGCAGATCACAATTGGCAGTTGCTCGGCAGCAGGGTGGCGGTCTTGCAGGAATGTGGGTTAATAGTTGACAAAAAGGGCTCTTATCTGGAGGGATAAGGCACCACGACCCGGCGTGTAGAGGCACGTGGCGCAGATAAGGTGGCGTGATGTTGCGCAGGTGCTGCCTCACCTCAGGTGAAGAGTAAACACACCGCTGACGGTTACAAAGCTTTCATCATCACCATTCACCAGCTTGCACCTGCTCACTGAGGTATCATAAAAAGCTTCTTTTTAAAGAGTCTCCCTGTAAGATGCCCTTTGTTGTTACCTCCTTTACGAGTAACTGCTACATTTAACAAGCGCCTGCAGCCTCGTGGAGGGATTCCTGAGTCTTTCAGTCATACAGCAGTGAGCTCTGTGTTGTGGTTTATCTACATTATGCTTCTGTTTGAGCTGCATTCAACACACTGAAGCCCGGCAGCAGGTCCAGCAGAGCCAAGGGGCTCAGCCGGGGGATGGGATACATGAATGGGGTGTGTGGGGGCGGACAGTCTGCCTCCTCCTTTGTTCTATGTCTGGGATGCTTCGGGGCAGCAGCATAGTTGCCATGGAGAGAGTGAAATGCAGGACAAAAGGTCTTTATTAGAGCATGGGCTTGTTTAACTCAATGTGTTTTCCACTGCATAAAAGGCATGTTGATTGATGCTAATCACACCGGGCTGGATATGAGGAAGAAGGTATTTTTTTGGACACAATGTTCAATGTGATCGTGTGGCTGCCTCACATGATCATCCAAAGTCGTTAGGATTTTGTGGATTTAACGAAGAAGTTTACTGATCTGTGTTCTCACTTTGTTTGCTTACAGACATACATCTTCACGGATGGAGAGGATGAGGATCTTAAAAAGAAAATTGGTAAGTTTTACAAGGGAATATTTCATGTTGGGAACAGAGATGCACATGGTTTCATTGGACAGAGGAACTCTGAATTTATGAGAAACCTATTTTTAAAATAATAAATTCAGCTCGAGTTTTTCCACTAAATTATGCTATTAAATTACAAAGAGCCTCCATTGATGGATTTATCTTTAACTAATAAAGCTTCTTCTTTTTCCTTGCCACAGGGAGTCACGCCATCAACACCAACTGCTCTGCAGCTCATAGTCGACAGGCGCTGTCTTGCAAGATGGCGGTGGAATATGACAAGTTCATAGAGTCGGGGAAAAAGTAAGTACCTTAATATTTATTTCTATGATGATAACTCAATAGTATGAACATATCAGGTTCTAACAGTTCTTATTTTTCTTAGGTGGTTCTGTCACGTAGATGACGACAACTATGTGAATGTGAGGACTCTGGTGAAGCAACTGTCCCAGTTCCCCCACACCCAGGACATGTACATCGGTAAACCCAGCCTGGACCGGCCCATCGAGGCCACAGAGAGGCTGGGGGACAATAAGATGGTACGTGCAAGATTCTTATAACTGGTGCAAAAATATTTTCAAGAACATGCCTCTTATTTGTTAGATTATTTCTATATACTGACAAACTTTTCTCTGTCCTTTATAGAAACCAGTCAACTTCTGGTTTGCTACTGGAGGAGCCGGCTTCTGTGTGAGCCGGGGTCTGGCGCTGAAGATGAGCCCATGGGCCAGGTGAGAAACAGAATTAAAATAAAAACATTTGTACCTTATGCTGCATTCACATGGAAATCATGCAGGCGGTAAACGGCAAACCCATCATCATTGAAATGGATGACAGGAGTGTAAAAAGTCAACTTGATTTCCGCAAAAAATAAGAAACTCTGTTCAATTCAACAAGAAGTTAAGTTTGATAATTTCAACAAGTGCCGCGCTCCTGTTTGCGGTCTGCCTGAAATCATGTGAATGCAGACTTTTTATGAAGTAAATGCTAAACAAATGCCTTAATGTCCCATCTAACCTGAGTTTCTTGTTTGTTTTTGTGTCTTCAGTGGCGGTCACTTCATGAACACAGCAGAGAAGATCCGCCTGCCCGACGACTGCACCGTGGGCTACATCATCGAGTCGGTCCTGGGGGTCCCTCTGACCCGCAGCAGCCTGTTCCACTCCCACCTGGAGAACCTGCAACAGGTGTCAAGATCTGAGATACACAAACAGGTGAGAGCCTCATGTTTTTAAAAAACAACCTTTTTTATGTCTTTTTTCTTATCAGAGTCTTTTGTGTTTCTTTTACATGATGCTCATTTCTCCCTGTATTTTTTCTTCCAGATCACCCTCAGTTATGGGATGTTTGAAAACAAAAGTAATATCATTAATCTGAAAGGAGCTTTCCCTGTGGAGGAGGATCCATCAAGGTGAGAGATTGTTCTACATATAATTAAACACACTTAACAAGCTGAAATTATTGTTCATTCAATGTATTATGTCAACACATTTCACATAAATGTATTAGGTTAGTTAAAAGCAATACTATTACGTTGAACCTAATACCTTATGTTATATTACAGTTATGTTAAATCTGTTGACGTAATACATTTAAATAAAGTCACAGTTTTTCAGTACAGATTTATCCTCCACTTCACCTCTCAACAAATCTAACTCCATACTTTGTATCTGTGTGTTGCAGGTTCAAGTCTGTGCACTGCCTCCTGTACCCAGACACCCCGTGGTGTCCCCCTCAGGTTGCCTTTTAGGGCGACCGCTCCTTTCTCATCCTCGTCCCCGTCGTGCCTCGGTATCTGAAAGGCTCGTGGGGACCAGTGTTTCGTATTAGACCGCGCGGCTGCTGTATTGTTACTGCAGTTTCGTGCGGTCTTTATTAGTTTAACTGGGCTGCTGTGCGGCCCGCCTTGGGACTTTCCCTTCCTGTCCGGAGCCAGGACCTTGCCCCATAATGTTCTGGAGCAGGACCCCAGCTCTAGACAGGAAGTTGCTTTCAGCGTTTAGCTTTGCAGGCAATCAGTTGAGCTTTGTGATGTATATGTTGCTTGTAAATGTATCTGCGATTCTCATAGAATGTATTGCCATTATATGCGAGCCTTTTTGCCAGCTTTCATTAACACTTTGTCTGTTTTTAGCTTGAAAAAATGCAAAGCCATATAGGTCTTTGCTTGTATACTTTTGGGCTTTTTTCAGGCATTTTTGTTTAGATCTTTAACTTTGACTCCGGACAAACGCTCTAATATGAAGATTTTTTTGGTGCTTTTAAGTTGACAGTGTTATTTCTTTCATAAACTGAGCTGGCAGTAGGCAGATATTCCAAATGCGTCGTTCAGTGACCTAATCTGAGGTATATCAGGACAAAGCACTTTTCCCTTTTTGATATTTTTTTGGTAACTTAATTTACGTCCTTTTATTGACATGCCTCAGATTTGTGTCCATACTAACACAATTCACAAATAACCTGTCAAAATCTCTATCTATTCATTTATATCTATTTAAAAAAAACTCCTTGCATTTGTTACAATCAGGGAAATTAATGAGGGGAAAGAGATTTTGATATTTTAAATTGCTTTGGGATGTTTTTTTTTGTTTAATAATTGCACAGCTGAGTTTCAAATGAGCTGATGTTTGCTCCTGAAAAGACACTTACCTCAAAGGCTCAACAATGAAGAAAGAGGAGTGAATTCTAGCTTGGATGACCCAAAAAAGCTAAAATCACTTCCAAACATTGGCTAAACCTAAATAATAACCACATGTAATCCGAGCCACAGTCTGTAACAGTTTGCACGAAAGACTGGTGAGCTTTTCTGTTATTAATAACAAAATAATATTATTTATCTACACATGTTACTGTTGAGGCCTGCGAGGTGACGACTTTACAGGAGCAACATGAGTGTTTTCACATGGAGGTGTTCCCTCTGTGTCTTCTCTCACCCATATTGGGTCACATTGTACATTTTGATTACAGTATTGTGTACTGTTTAAATTAGTAGTAATTGTAAAATGTTTAAAAAAAAATGTAATTTCCCCTTTGTGGTTTACATAATGCTTTTAATGACCCTGACGTGATTTTTTTGAACTGTGCTAAATGAATGTGGTGTTTATTCTCCAGTATCTGGAGGCTTTGAAAGGTTCATTCCCAACACTGGCTTCTCAGGGATTATGAGCTGATCCTGGTATTAACTACCATGGGACCCAAGGTGGGACCTGAAACTTTGAATAAAAGTGCATAACCACTGAGAAACTTTACATATTTGGTCATGTTTTTATTTCCAGTTCAAGATGAGACATTTAAGGCAACAATTACGGGCAAGAATATCCCCATCAACATCAAAACACCGGTCAATTTTGAGAGATTGTCTCCATAACAGTTCTTATTTTAGACTAGGGAAAGGAAACATCCAGAGTACAGATTGTTTCTTATACTACACTTTGTCTATTTGCATCTGCAGATTTCTCGAGTTGGCATTAGATGATTCTGCATTTGCATATCAGAACACGACATTTAAGAAGACTTGTAATTTCTTTAAAAAAGAATAGTCCTAATGTAAACAATCAACTGGGGAAGTTTCATGGGGTTCCCTGATTAGGATGTATAATATCTATTTTAAACACCAGCTATTGTTAACATAGAGTTTAGTTAAAAGCAGTCAATAATAGGTCATGATAGCTCCACAGCCGACAGCTACCAGTACAAAGATTACTAAACTATTAATGGATCAATCCTAATCTATAATATATCAACATGTTACACTAGATGGACGTTACTTGTATTGGAGTATCCTTTTGCACAACTTAGGAAAAACTGCTCTCATGGCATTAAGGGGTACTTTTCTTTTTGTCTAAAAAAGCTGCCTCACAGGATATAGATTTGTACTCTGCCCGAGTTCTTGCAAGAACACAGAAAACGTGGAAATTATGATTAATTATCAGCATAAAGTAAAAAATCATTCTGCATAAGCACAAATGAACTCTAGCAGACTCAGAGCACAGACTCCATCTCCAAAGGCTTCCATGGGAGACAAATTACACGGAGCAAACATCCTCACCACAAACCATAATCACAGCTTTGCCTTGCAGAGATGTATAGTGGGAAAAACTGAAGCCTTTTATGTGTCTAAATCTCATGTTCAAACAGTCCTCTGCACCCTGTTTTCTCACTGTTGACTCAAAACATTTCCATAAATCTGCGCAGAAGTTCTAAATGACACATTGCATGAAACAAGACATTCAAAGCAGTCTGATTGGTAGCTATAGCCTTTTATGAGTGGCAAACGCTTGATCAGTCTTACTCAGCTTGTTAATAATAAGAAGAAAAAGAAGCGGGAGATGTCTCCTTTGGCACTACACCCTGGGAAAAGAGGGCTTGTGGCTTAAGCATGAAACACTTGTATTATTAAACTGGCAAGCTGTGAAAGTGCAAACAGTAATCGGATATGCGGCACTCTGATCCTATCCTTTAGGAGAAAAGGTTTTTACTTACATAACAAATCATAAGAGTGTAAACTAATCTGTCTTTAATCTTTTCAAGATCAGACTCTCAAAACTGACACTTATATTTAACATTTTTGTAGTGGTGCACGTGCGATAAAAGTAAAAATAGTAAGTAGATAAAGATTTAAATGAGCCTTAAACCATTTCCTCCAGTTTATACGTAATCCCTTCTTCAAACATACCAGTCACATCTGTGTACAACTTTAAATGAGTCGTTATGTGATTACTGTACTTTGGTGATTTCCCCCTGTTTATCTTTCCTCAATGTTTGCTTTGCACTTATGTCTGTTCCCATACCAATAGTTGAAGAATAATAAATACAGTCAGACTGAGCCTTTAAGTGTACGCTATTTGCATTTTAATTTATGCCCCAAGTTGGCCAAGTGTTCAGCCTCAAACAGGGAGACAGTTGGACAGAGGACAGAACTTTGACAGGAAGGGGAACTATTCATGTGGACGTGTGATGAAAGCATCAGTAGTGATAGTAAAGTCAATATCTTACTAGTATTGCTACTTAAATAGAAGTGCACAATGTTTTTAATTGTATTGTTCTTTGCATTGCCCTTCAAGCAGCAGAACAAACCCCGATGTAAGACTTGAAATGTGCTTTGTTTACTTTTGAAATAATTATGATATGTTAATTAGTGATCTTTAGTCTTATAGGCATACTTTCTTACCATTGGCCAGAGCCAGTCTAGCCATTTCCCCCTGTTTAGAGTGCTCGTGCTAGGCTAAGCTAAGCTAAGCTAACCAGGTGCTCACTGTTGCTTTATATTTAGAGTTAGAATCTTTATCAAATCTCTGTTTCGGCAGCTCTTATGTCAATAAGCAGTCATTTCAGTTGTGTTTTTTTAGATATGTTTGTTTGTTTGTTAAGTAATAGTAACCATATACTGCAACGTTAGCATAGTAGAAGGAAAGAGTAGGATGCTTCGCACATAAGTGACAGAAGGGGGTGGGAGATGTTGCATTAGCTCCACAATTATATAATTTCTATGAGATAATATTACTTTCATTTAAGCAATGAATTTGAGTAGTTCTTCCGATGTAAATTGCATAATTTCAGTCTAATTATCAGATTTAATTATCTTTAAATAACAAGTCAGTATGCTGATAGAAAGCATTTCTCAACGTCTCCACGGGCCTGTCGTTTGTGCAGTGCAATAATTTGAGTAATGCTGTTTTGCATATGAATGGTGTGGTGAACAGGTGGGGGACTATAAGAACATAAACACCCAACTGCAGACATCCATCAATCCTGCTAAATGTCAGTGAGCTCTGGTGAAATATGTCTGGAGACTGAAGATGATCTGCCAGTGATAAAGCAAAAGTCGAGCAGGATCTGTTTACACAACATAAAAGTCCTGCATGACTTGTGTCAGTTTCAGTTTTTGTCACACCTGAAGAGAAATATGCCCATCTACGAATCTTTCACCCCAGGGAGAGAGACAGGGAGTCTGTCAGCCGTGTAATGTCCCCGCATTGAAAAAGTTGTAGTTCTATTTTTTTTTATTATGGGGGCCTTACTTGATTGACATTGGGTCTTCTTCCCAGCAGATATTGGCATAGTTTGTCATAGGATAAACCCAGGTGTAATCAATACCACCAAAGAGGTGTAAGAAGCAACTAAATGGAAAGCAGGCATCGTTTTATTATTTACTGTGCTTGTTTTACTGTGAGATTCGAAATGTCTTCTGGGAAAAAAGGCTTATTCGTATTTAGTTAAACAAAAATATTTGATACTGGGCATCAAGGCTTCACAGGACTCAAGGGCGAATGTTTTTCAACACTGTCCTAATGTGGGACGACAGGAAACACTTAGGTGTGTTAATAGTTTGTTCCCTGCTGATTAAAACACAAACACCTGGGTGTGCTTCCTTACACCTCCCATCAGTGCTCTGAGTGGGAGACGTGACATTTCACAGCTCTGTAAAACTACTCTCTTTCTGTTCGTGTGACTCAAAAACAAAACAGCGTCTCTAACTGTCAGTAAAAAGGAAACCCCAGGGTGGGAGGTGAGGAGTTGGAGTAGATGTGGTGAAGTATGGCTGACATTCCTCAGAGTGCAGGGGATTACAGAGAGGCTGGCCGCTCGCACGTTGTCTTCCCTCTGCTATATCAGTCAGTCTCCAATTAACAGCCTGCATTGTCTGCAGGATTAGGAGCGGCGGGACAAGTCCCATTGGCCCGCAGAAAGATCTCACAGCAACTGGCACAGGCATTAATCCTGCTCAACATGTGCTCTGAAGGCAGACGAGTGGCCGTTTACGATAATCCAGGTATCACATCCTGTAGAGAGGGACTTGAACCTTGTCGTGAGCAGCCCTTGAGTGGAGGCTTGAGGAATTTGGTGTATGAAATCATGGAAGATGCATTAAAGCAAATAATAGATTTTCTACATAAAGTGGTTTAAAAAACAAAACACATTAACTTCCTCCTGCCAGGGTCTTTACAAAAACATTTTATACCTGAAGGTAATTTCAAGACTTAATCATTCAGAATTTTAGCGCTAGAAGGAATACTCAATATTATATTTAAGTTTAATAAGGGCGAGGGGATAAACTTAAATTCTATCTATTATGTCTGTACTTCAATGCTATTTGATTACATTTTTTTTAGGGTTTTAGGAACATAACTTATTGTACATTTAGGCCTGTAATTGTAATTAATCCAGATAATAATCTTAAACAGATCATTTAGTTTGTATTGTAGCTCATACAGCAGCATAACCGCATGTGTTATATGTCAGAAATTTGCATCAAAGTAGAATCGTGTAAAATAAATTTGTAATAGTGCTTCCAAGACATGCAAATAAGTATGCAAATAATGCTGCACAACCTCAGGCATGGATTACTCATAACTGTTATTTTAATAATACACCATCTCAGTAGCATAACTGACGGGAAGTGACTGATCACTGCAAGACTTTTGGAGGAAAACTGGTATAACTGTAGCCTACTAGCTTTGAGCAGAGTAAATGTGACTAAATATCTGGTATAAATGGTATCTAATCTGTGGTTAGGTGGTGGGGGACAACTGAAAGATGGACAATTGGATTTTAAAAGAACAGGAATGAGAACACAAGTTTGGAGAAAGTCCTGAAGCATCACAGTGAGCAGGAGGAGTAAAGAGGTAAGGAAGCACACGGCTCCATAAATCCTCCATTAGGTACGTGCTCCCTGCGACTGGTGCGGTGATGCCTACAAAGGAGCCCCCCCCCCCCCTCCCACAAAGAGACGAACCAGGCACCCTGTGACCTTGTAAGCATGGCAGCAACAAAGCAGCAGCATTCCCTCCAGAAGCGGAAGACAAAGGTGCTCACGTCCTGTGTTTGCCTTCGTCTGCCTCATCTATCCTGTGATGACAGACAGAAAGAAAGGAGGAGAGAAGAGGTAAAAGTGAACATTAGCAGAGAAGGAATACAGGCAGAGATACTTTAACTGAATTTGAGTATACATCTTCTGCTAGAGAGAATATTTGTACTTTTACAAAATGACATTTGGCAGCTGCATTCACTGTTACCTTTCAGTTTAAGATTAAGCATTCAAAAATATATGATTATCTTATGAAATACAACATATTTAACAAGTTGTTTATTATCTTTTTAGCTTGTAACTCCACAAAAAAACAGTAACACGTTGATCCCCCTTGTTATATTTCAGATGTCGGTCAAATATAAGCATATCCACCACAGTTGTCCCCCCAAATGTCTCACATGGTTTTATTTAAACAACTGTTTAAGACCAAAATGTCAA